AAGGTCCAATCCCTTTACACACTCCAGCAGCTCATAGATGGGGTAGATGTTAGGGTGGGCCAACCCAAGGCCCAAGATGTGGGTCTGGGTGGTAGCTGAACTGGTTGTTCCTGGCCACTGGGACCATCCCCTTGGTGAGGGGCAGAGTCAGCTCTCCTAGGCCCATGTCATCTGGGCTAACTCTTTCATGACAGTGGTAATGGGTTGGGGCATCTCTCCAGAGTGCAGAGGTTAGCTCTCCTGCTGAAGTGTTCAGTGAGGGGCAGGGTCAACTATCCCAGGGCCAGTGAGGAGCAGGGCTGGCTTAGCATGGTCCTCGGATTTCAACATGCACAATTTCTATTACCATCTGTGGTAACATGGGCCATGGACATCATCACAGACCCCAGCTGCAGCAGGAACAGAGACCTAGACATGCCCTCAGCTGCAATTCGGACTTGATGTCACCATGGCCCTGGTGGCAGCCCAGCCCTCAGACACCAACATGGCCACAGGTTGTGGCCTAGACCCTGAGCATCTGTGTGGTCTTTAGTGGTACAATGGGTGATAGACATCAACATAGAACTTGTCTTTGGTAGGACCATGGACCCAGACATGGTATCCTTGGTACAGCCTGGGCTTGGATGTCATCATATCCCCAGGTGGCAGCACAGGCCACTCAGATTGGCATGGCCCGTGTAACAGCATGGCCCTCTAACACCAAAATGGCCCCAGGTGGTGGCCCAGACCTCTAGTGTCGGCATTACCTTTGATGGTATCAGGAGCCACGGACCCAGACAGGGCCCTCTGCAGCAACCCTGGCTCAGATGACACCATGGCCCCAGGTAATAGCACAGGACACTCAGATCAGCATGGTCCCCACAGTGGCTTGGCCCTTGGAACCCAGCATGGCTACAGGATACAGCCTAGACTCTGGGCATCCGTGTGACCTTTGGTGGCACCACAGGCCACAGGCATGAGCACAGACCCTGGCTGTTAGGACTATGAACCTAGCATTGTCCTTATAAGCAGCCTGGTGTAATTGTGTTTTTCTTTTCTAACTCCTTGGGGCCTGCCACCAACTCCCAAATAAATACACGGAGACTTATTCTTATTTACGAATGCCTGACCTTAGCTTGGCTTGTTTCTAGCCAGCTTTTGTAACTTAATTTATCCCATTTCTCTTTAACTACATTTTGCTTCTGGACTTTTCAACCTTTCTTTATTCTTTATGTTTTTATTTTCTTTTTACTCCGGGGCTGGCCCTTAGTTTCCTCCTCTCCTTCTTTTCTTGCTTCTCCCTCTTCTCTACACTTTTCCTATTTATTCTGTCTGCCAGCCCTGCCTATCCTTTCTCCCACCTACTTATTGGCCATTCAGCTCTTTCTTAGACCAGTCAGGATTTTAGGCAGACATAGCTTTACAGATTTCAACAAATGCAACAAAAAAGAATGCATCATTCAGCGAGTATGCCACAGCATTAAACGAATGTCACACATCTTAAACTAGCATTTTGCAACAGCCCGGGCTTGGATATCACCATGACACCAAGTGGCAGCACAGGCAACTTATATTGACATGACCCCAGGGCAGTGTGGCTCTTGAACACCAACATGGCCTCAAGAGGTGACCCAGATCAGACACCAGCATGGCCTTCAATGGTATCAGGAGCCTCAGACATCAACACAGCCCCTGACTGCGGTAGGGTCACGGACCCAGACATGGCCCTAGTCTGTAGCCCATACCGTATGTCACCATGGCAGTGCAGGCTACTCAGATCTGTATGACCCCCATTGCAGCATGACACTTAGATCCCCAACTGGCCTCAGGCGATGGCCCAGACCGCAGGCATTTACATGGCCCTTGATGATATCAAGAACCACAAATATCAACCCAGACCCTGGCTGTAGTAGGACCACAGACCCAGATGTAGCAAATAATAAAAACCTAGAGATAGAAATTGAGGTTCAACCTGAAAACCAGAAAAGCAAAAGCAGCCAAGCTAGAGAAGTCTTACCTCTACTAAGGCTGGGTGACCATAAACTAAGCAGACTAAACCTCTCTCTTTCTATTTTATATTCCCATTTAAAGGTATGTGACTGCCTAGGACTGGGATTAAAGTTGTGAGCCACCACTACCTGGATCTGTTTCTGCACTGATCTTATGCAGCTCAGGGTGGCCTGGAACTCATAGAGATCCATCTGACTGTCTCCCAATTCTTGGGATTAAAGGTGTGTGTCACTATTGCCTGACCACTAGTGGCTTTTGCTTTACCTCTGGCCTTCAAGCAAGATTTATTTATCAAAATACAAATAATATACCACTACATCCAGACATGGCCCTATGCCAATGTCACCATGGCCCTAGGTGGCAGCACAGGCTGATGTGGGATTTCCCTCTGTATGCTGTGATTACCACTAATGACTAAAGAAACTGCTTTGGACCTATAGCAGGGCAGAACTTAGATAGGCGGGGAAAACTAAGCTGAATGCTGGGAGAAAGAAGGGCAGAGTCAGGGAGAAGCCATGGAGCTGCCGCTGGACACAGCGGAACTTTAGCCAGTAAACCACAGCCACATGGTGATACACAGATTACTAGAAAGGGGTTAAATTAATATGTAAGAGTTAGCCAATAAGAAGCTAGAGTTAATGGGCCAAGCAGTGATTTAATCAATACAGTTTCTGTGTGATTATTTCGGGGCTAAGTGGCTGGGAACCAACAAGCGGCCCCTCCTTACTACAACAGGCCATTCAGATTAGCACGGCCCTGGTGGCAGCATGGGTCTCAGATACCAACATGGACCCAGATGTCTGACCAGCCCCTGTTCATCTGCACAGGCTTCAGTGGTTATTGAAGCCACGGACATAAATCCAGACCCTGGCTGCTGCAAGGCCACTGACCTAGACATAACCCTAGGCAGCAGCCTGGGCCTGGATGTTAATTATGTTCCCCAGTAGTGGCACAGGCCGCCCAGATCAACATTGCCCCAGTGGTGGCATGGCCCTTGGAAACCAAAATGGCCCCAGGTGGGAGTTCAGACCCCAGGCATCCCTGTGGCATTGATGGGACGACAACACAGATCCCAGCTGCAGCAGGACCACAGACCCAGATATGGTCCTATGCTATAGCCCAGGCCCGGATGCCACCCTGGTCCCAGGTGGCAAGCAGGCTGCCAACGTCAGCCCCGTCCTCACCACCTCTGATTCTTCAGAGCTGCCTCTTACCACAGCACATGAATTATTCTGTCTCTCTTTCTACCCCACTTCTGCACCACATGCTTGCTCATCATAATGGTCCTCACACTGTTCCTGTGGATGCTTCAAGCAGGCTGGACCATGCGCCAGAATTATTATTATTATTACTTTTGACAAGGGTAGTGAGAGTCTAATTCTGGTCCTTGTGTTTGCACAGCAAACACTTTACTGACTAAGTCACATTTCCAGCTCCTGGTTCTCTCTTTTCTGGCCACTATCAGCTTCATTTTAGGGCAGGTTGCATTTCCTCAGAAGTAGTAGGATAATCTCCAGGCTTTCTACTGCGCCAGCAATTTCATTTCAGCTGTGTCTGTTTTCCTCCTTACTTGTTTTCATATTTTTGGGGAGGAGGGTTGGTAATGGTATTGTTTTGAAACTCACGTGCCTCAGGAATCCTCTTTTTCCCCCTCCTCATCTTTTTGCATGAATATTATTATTAGTTTTTTTCCAGTGGAAAGAACTTGTAGAACTTCCTTACTGACTGCTGTCATCTTTTAGTTTTTCATTCCTTTGTGGGGAGCCTAGGGTCTGGTGCCTGCTGAGCAGTTGATTTCTCTAGAGCCACACCCTGGACCTTGGGTTCTTCATTTTCTATTCTCTCCCTATCTCCATTCTCTTTCTTTCTTTGCTTTTTCTCAATATGTTTATTTTTTTTTCTTTTTCATCTTGCTAATGCTTAGCAAGAGTGATCCTGGGCCCAGAGATATGACTTAGTGGTTAACAGCACTGGATGCTCTTCTAGAGGACCCAGTTCTGATTCCCAGCATCCACATGGTGGCTCACAACTGTCTGTAACTCCAGTTCAAGAGGATCTGCTGTCCTCTTTTGGCCTCTGTGGGTACCAAGGTATGTGGTGCACAGACAAGCTTGCAGGCAAAACTCCCATAGGTATAAATAAAATAAAAACTGGTCTCACCTCATTTCTTTTGCTCTGACACAGAGTAGCTGTTCCCTTTGGTCCCTGAGAGTAGGGGATTACTTTCTGTTCAGCTTCTTGTAACTGGAAATGCTAGAGTTGTTGAGTTGTTAATTTAGTTGGAACTCACCATGGCCCTTGAGGGATGCAGCTCACTGTTGGGTGGTGACAGGAGTTATCCCACCCAGTCAGGGATGCCTCTCATCTTCATAGACTTCTATAGGCTTCAGTTTGTCTGCCCTGGGCATGTTCCCAAAGCCTTTCCCAGCCTCCCCTGCAGCTCAAGTAGCCTCAGTGACTTTATATTTTTCATTCCAGGATTTCTGACTTTTTAAAATTGGCCTGCTATGTTACTGTTCCTCAGGAGATGTAAACTTTCATATATGCACCCCGGATAGGGCATTTATGACAAAGTAATGATTCTACTCAAGTCTGCCTTGGTGAGCAAATGAGTAGATTGGGCTTTCTTACAGGAACATGATTGGGGGTTACTTATAAGAGTGTTGATAACTCAAAAACATCTGCACCATTGACAAGGCCCACTCATCACCGACTCACCAGCTGCGTCAGAGAATCACATCCTTAGTTAACCTTTCCCCTTTCAAGAGCACATCCAAGAAGAGCAGAAGGAGGTACTAAGTGGAATTTCAGGTGAGGGTCCTGTGATATTCTCCTACTAGGGGTTGTTATCAGCCCCTACTGTTGTCAGTACCATAGCCCTAGCTAACATTGTATTATTCTGCTGATTTTGTTGCTATGGCTACAGGGCCAAGCGTTATGTAAGGTCACCATGGCGACCTATGTTTAATGGCCAATGGCCATGCCATGTTCATTCCCTAAAGAAAATTGCTTTTGCCGTCATATGACCCATTTTTGTTTCGCAGTTAGTGTTTCTGTTTTATTAGAGCCCATTCTTTCATGATGTCATCTCCTTAAGGTTGTCAGCGTACTTATTTCCTTATCGTTTTTAGACTGCTCCGTTATTTTCATTTTGTGGTGAGCATGCAGCACTCCCAGTTAGCCATGCTGTCTTTCTTATCACTTGGTAGCTTTGGTTTCCAGGCTATCTTAAATGTCTTGCTTTGTCTTACTCTTCTCTCATGAGTGATTTTACAGTAACTTTCACCAACCCGGAGGCCCACTTCAAAGTGAAGACTCGTGGTAAAGAATCAGGTCTTATGGTGGGCAGGTAGGAAGCATTTCACAGTCGCTGCCACCGAGGCTGCAGGTGATGTGGTCCCCCTGTTGCTGGAGGATGCTTTCTGTACCTTCTCCTCATGTAAATGACAGTCCTAGTACTTACTGTCTAGTGACATGTTCTTTAGCCACTGCCCCAGCTTTAAATCAGTAAGTCTGGTTCCCTCTCGCTGTCTTAAATGGGGCTTTCTAGTGTTTAGTCTCCCAGTGTTCTGAGACCTGTTAGGTCCTGGGTCTTATTTCCTATAACATACTCCATCGGTTAATTTGCCATATGTACTGGGGCCAGTCAATTTAACGTTAAAGTTCAGTCATTGTCCTTGACTGTAAAATTATGGTGCTGGATACTTAGCCTCCAAGCCCTTGTCCACGCCAGAGTTCAGAAGTCTACAGGAAGATCCTTTAAAACAGTGATCTCTGCTACAGTCAGGAGGGCTGTGAGACTATTTGTTCAGTTCAGGCAAATGGTAAATGTGTCGGCTACTCTAATGAAATGAGTACATTTTTGCTCTAAATGTCATGGATGTTTATTGTCAGATTAAACTACAGCAGGCCTAATTTTAGCTCTTCCAATTCAAGTGGAGCAATGAAGATTAAATGTTAGGCATAATTAAAGATGCAGATGTAGTTATATTGAATTATAAACCTCATTAAGTGCAGCATCCCAGGAAGGCCCCCGAGACCAGCTACAAAGGACGTCACAGTGCTAGAGTTATTAAAATATCTAAAGTAAATCTCACTCCCAAAATATTATGACTTACACGGAAGGATTTCTTAAAGCATGGCTGGGGTTTGTTCCATGGCTAATTTCCTTGCTCTGTAGAGAGTTGGGAAGAAGGATTTCTTCTCTAGGATTTTCATGAATGTCTCTCTGGGGCTTTGTGCCCACTCTCCCACCCACCGACATGGGATCAAATCTCCTGGGCCAGTGAAAATAAGAACTCAAGGTCGCATTCCATTCTAGGGTTGATAGCAGGGATACAGAGAGCAATTTCCCTAGGATTGGAAGACTACATTTTGAAAAATATAGATAACTACATTTCTTTGTTGATATTTCCAAGTTTTTTTTTGGTCTGTAAAGATATCATGTATACATTTTAATAATTTAAGGAATGCAGAATAGGATAAAGAATTCTAAAAATTTGTGAAAAATAGTTTAGATCTTAAGCACCAGTGTGTGTGTGTGTGTGTGTGTGTGTGTGTGTGTGTGTGTGTGTAGAGGCCAGAGGTCACCCATAGGTGTTGTTCCTTACAGCCATTCATCTTGTGTTTTGAGTCATAGTCTCTCACTGTGACTGGGAATCACCAAATACGCCAGACTATGCTGTCTCTGTCTCCCTTCACACTGGGATTACAAGTCCAAGAACTTCTTATGTGGTGCTAGGGGTCAAACTCAGGTCTTCATATTGAGCAACAAGTACTTTACTGATTGAGTTATGTCTCTAGCCTTTAAGCACAGTTTTTTTTTGCCGTGTTTTTAATTAATGTGAATGGATATCTTTCCACATCAGCAAATACTGATAAGCCTTGTATATTTTAATGACTGATATCCTATCATTTAACCTGATTGTCAACTACTTAGTTATACATTAGTGCTGTATAATAAACAGCCTCCAGATTCAGTAGCTTAAAACTGGGTCTTTTTTGAACTCGCAAGTTTGCAGTTGACAATTTAGGCTGATCCCAACTGGGCTGCTCTTCTAGACTGGGCTGGACTTGTTCTTGTCTGTGAGTCAATTACCAGTAGGGTGACCTCAGGTATTCTTGACAAGGGAAACTAAGATGATTTTGTTTTGTTTTGTTTTGTTTTGTTTTGTTTTGTTTTGTTTTGCTATACAGTCTGCAGACATGTGCTCAAGCTAAAAGAAGAATGAGAGATGAAGAAATCTCCACACAAGGGCTTTTCAAATCTCTGCTGGAGTCAAGTCAACCAACATCATTTTGACCATGTCAAATTGCTTACCTGAGCTCAAAATCAAGGTGAGAAGAACTTCAAAGTCACCTTTCAAGAGGCAAGGGTAAGGCTGGGGTGGGGTTCATTCGTCAGGGTACTTGCCTAGAATTCAGGGAACCTTGGGTTCGATCCCCAGCACTTCTTCACCTGGGTGTAGTGGTGCACTCCTGTAATCCCAGCACACAGGAGGTGAAGGCAGGAAGACCAACAGTTAGAGGTCATCTTCAGCTACAAAAAGAGTTTGAGGCTATTTTGGGCTGCATGAGACCCTGCTTTAAAAAAAGGTTGGTGGAGCTGGGGGTGGCAGTGGTCATATTGATTTAGGCTTATTCATGTAATCACCTCCCCAAAGACACATGCACCTCAACACTCAACATCTGGACATACATTGACAGACTGCCTAACAGATGGGACCAGTTTTTGATGCCAGTGTTGCTTGAATGTCACTTTGGTGGAGATTTTGGTAAATGCTTCCCAGTAGACACTGTGCTCTGGGCTATCACCTAGCCTTACCTCCCACAACTGTCTTGTGCTTGTCTTCTTCCAGACTCGGACTGGTCTTTCCTGTTTGGAATGGTCTTGATGTCCTACAGACATCCAAGCACCGTACTGAGAGCAGGAAAGATGTCTTGGTTTGTCCAAGATTTCACTGGTTTTAAAATATTAAGTCTTGCATCTCAAGTTCTCCACTAGAGCAGGCAAACACAGCCAACTGATTGTATGAGAGGGCCTTGGCAAACTTTAAAGGGCCAGAGAATAAGTATTTTAGGTCTCAGTTGAGAGCTCCTGATTCTGCCAGGGTGAGGTAAACATGGTTCTAGACATGTCACAAATGGTTGTGGCTGTGTGCCAATCCAACTTTATTTTCAGAAACAGGCAGTGTGCTGTGTTTGATGCAAGGTCTTCTGAGAGTCTGTTATGTTTTTAAGTTTCAATTACTGTGCCTAAAAGACCCATGAAATAAAAATGCCTCTAGCCTGTAAGTCTTTTGCCCAAAGATAGATAATTCTTGAAATACTGGAGACTATGATTTATGTTTTCACTCCCCTAAATAAACTTGTTTGCCCCAGCTGCACTGTACGTGGTTGATCACATGTAGACAGGAAGTACATGTTGTGGGAGTAACTTCCGCTGCCTCAACCAATAGTCGCTGAAATACGAGCCCACAGTGCAGCGGGGAGCGACTTCCGCTCCGTCAGCCAATAGCTGCTGAAATACCAGCCCACTGGGGCGTGGTATATTTCTCTTTTAAAAAGAGAAGCATATTCGGATCAGGCCCTCTTGGTTCTGGCTCTTGGTTCCGGTGCTTGCTCCTGGCTCCTGCTCCCGGCTCCTGCGACTAGGCTCCCTTCCTGACGGTTTATGGTGTATGTAAGTTTTACCCCCCAAAATAAATAACCCCTTAAAACATAACTGGTGTGGGATTGATTGCTACCAAGAAAACATGCTTTACTCTATTCTTTCCCAAGCTTTTTCAAGCTTTCTGTGGATTCAGTTATCCACGTTGGGCGCCAATTATCGGCGAATCAATCCCACACCAGTTATGTTTTAAGGGGTTATTTATTTTGGGGGGTAAAACTTACATACACCATAAACTGTCAGGAAGGGAGCCTAGTCGCAGGAGCCGGGAGCAGAAGCCATGGAGCCAGCCACCAGGTCAGACATGCTGAATCTTTTCCGGTAAGCCACTACCTCGTGGTGCTACCACGAGATTATTAGAAATGGGTTAATATCAAGATATGAGAGTTAGTCAGTAACTAACTCTCTAGAGATAATGGGCCAGGCAGTGCTTAAATGAATACAATTTGTGTGTTGTTATTTCTGGGACTAAGCTAGCCGTGCGGGAGCCGGGTGAGGCGAAAAGCAGGCCTGCCCGCAGATGCCCCTCACTACAAGTACAGGACAGAAATATGTCAGAATGTATGCTTGCCCCTGATTGGATGGAGACAGGAGGTACGGGGGCAGGAAGTACGTCAGGATATATGCCTGCCCCTGATTGGACCTGATGGGAAATGTCTTATGGGTTTGGCTTTTTAAACTTCTGCAAAATGTGACTTGTTCCCATTTTCTGGGAACCCTAAAGTGGTCCTAGCCAGAGTTCCTCATCCTGGTCAGTGTTAAATTAAAGCTTGCTTCAGATTTGGCTCAAAAATTGTGGAACTGGTCTTTCTCTCGTGAGTCTCAGGCTTAACAGGCTTTAATTTTCTGACACTTTGCTAAGACTGGGCATTTTACGTGTACGTCATGTTCTTTTGTTGGTTTATGTTTCAGAAGAGTTTTTTCCCTCTCTCTCTGGTTGGAATATAAGGGGAGTGTAACATCTTTACACTGGACTCTATGACTCAGTAGTTATGTGAAGTTGAATGAGTTACTTACCTCCCTGGCTTTGGTTTCCTTATCTGTCAGATGGGGATAATAGTAGTATTTGTTATGGTAAAAATAAAATGCCGCAGGTCCCTGAGTGGCGGGCGGCAGCAGGCAGCGGATACCGAGACCATGGCTGGCCATGAAGGTAGCTGGTCCCAGGCAGGGAGGATGGGTTAGAGACAGAGACATGCCATGCAGAGAAAGTGGGTATCTATTTAGTGGGTTATGGAGGAGAAAAGGAAAAGAAAGAAGGGGAGAAAGGGGAAGAGCAGAGAGAGGCAGAGAGAGAGAGAAAGAGAGAGAGAGAGAGAGAGAGAGAGAGAAGTTTTTCCTCTTTTCAGCAATGACCTTGGGAGTAGATAGGACTTTAGTGGACTTGCCAAGCTCAGAAACAGAGGGGCAGAGGGGAGAAGTGGGGAGAAGAGAGAGAAAGGCAGAAGCTGCCTCTTCAGGAGGGAGACAGAAAGTAAGGAACTCAGGCTAGAAGCAGAAGGAAGATCTGTTTGCCTCAGTGGATGGGGGAGGGAGTGGGCGGGGTTTGTCTCTTAAAGGAACAGGACAGACTATTATAGAATTGATCACCAATGTGTATGGGAGGATTAAATCTTTTCACTGCACATGACGGAATGAGTGCTCAATAAACAGCGGTCGTCATCATCAGTATCATCGTCATCATGTGGGCCTTCTTCATTATGTAGCACAATTCTGGTTACAGAAGTCATTCAGTGCACAGAACCACGCAGACCTATGTTAAAAGCCTTTTAGGTGGTGGTGTCTGAACACTCATTCAGAGGTGAGCTCTGAAACACAGTGCCCTCCCTGAATGTTGGCTGACCTTGTTTCCATGGTTACCAACATCCCTGAATTACTGAGAAGTCAAACTCCAGCCTCCCCATCACAGGTGTTCTGTCTCCCCCAAAAGCCATCTTCTGCCTTGTACTCCATCTCTTAGCTTCCTCTATACCTTCCCAGGCTGTATGGATGAGGATCAAAAAGGGACTCCCTAAGATCATAGCTGGAAGCTTCTAGACAGGCGTTGAGGCTACTGGCAATAATGAAACTGGTGGGTGTGCAGGGTGCTGGGATTGCTTGTGAGACCTGGTATGGGTGAGCTGCACAGGGTCCTTCCTTTGGTCGTGGAGGAAGAAGCGAGATCACATGGCTGGTTCAGTGACCCCCTCCAAGCCAGACCCCACTATTTTATCAAAAACTCTTACATCTTAGGGTTGGCTCAGCTTTGATCTGGGAAAATGAAAGGCCAGGTTTCTGGGTGCCCCACTGCCAACTTCTGCAGCAAGAGTGAGCCTTGCTGATCCTGCCGGCTCAGACGTACTCCATTTCCTGGTAATTAAACAAGTGGAGATCAAAGCCGACAAATCTCCTAGTCTCTTGGCACAGGAGATGAAGGTAAATACTTCCAGCAACAGTTCTTTTTCTTTTCTCATTAAAAGTGAAACATGAAATGTCTTCTTACTTTGAAGAAAACGAATGTGTTCAAGGTCAGCCTAGAGATGTCCTCCCAGCCACCTTGGTTATTCCATATTGGTTCTTATTCTCTGCTCGGTGGAGTGGCCGGGGAAACAACATCTCAATCACATCAAGTCAGGAGACAAAGGAAAGTTATGGAACACACCCATCTGGTAACCTTGACACTTGGTGACACTTCCCTTTTGCTGGGCAGGGCCAAGAGCTTTGGAAGCCCCTTTCCAGTTATTGTATCCAGGCTTTTACCTGAATCTCAGGCAGCTGCCTATGCTGTCTTGGCTGTTTTCCCATAATGTCTTTTGGAATTTTCTGTCTTCTCTGAAAGGAACAGCTCACCAAGAGGCTCTCCCCAGGACCTCCAGTACAGGAAGCTCAAGGCTGGAGGCTAAAGATGCCTGCTGAGGGTTCTAGGTGATCTCTTTTCAGTGCAGGCAGCAGACCACACTTGAGCTAGCTCACGTGTAGGGCAGGTGGGTACTGTGGGGACCAATGAAGAGCTCCTGGGAGCCCCAACTGGGTGTCTGGGATTACTAGTGTCAGAATCCTGGAGGCCTAAGGACCAGGGCCTCACAAAGGATGGCATCTGCCCCAGACTCCCTTTCCCTCATTGCCCTCTCCTTTCTCTTCTGGCTCCACCCTTGGCTTCTGGGTCACTGCTGCTTCATCCTGGTTTCTGTTTGCTCACTGTCTCTGGAGGCTGACGTCAATCCAGGTCTTCTTCACGTCCTCATGCCCAGTTCTCCTGCTTTGGCCTTGACTTTTCATCCCTTGTCCCCAGTCTCACATTGCAGAGAGAAGGTAAATGTGGAGGGTGGGAATCTGATTGATCTGATCAATCATCTTGAGGCAGGCTATTGATGTCACAGTTCTGAACAGTCTGCAGGTACTTCAGACCCACCTTTGTTCCAATTAGCTGTAAATACAGGACCTTCCCAAAGTCACTGGAGAAGAAGGAATGTCATCTTCTGTGCTGGGGACAGAGCTCAGTGGGTGGACTGCTTGCCAAGCACACATGAATCATCAGCTTGGATTCCTAGTACCACATAAACCAAGCATGGTGTCACACACTCGTAATCCCAGCACCTGGGAGATGGAGACAGAGAATGAGAAGTTCAAGTTTATTCTCAACCACACAGCAAGTTCAAGACCAGCCTGGGCTACATGAAACCTTGTT